TTTATGTATGTCTATGGAAGAAAATTCCAGCTTGTCACCGATAATCGCCCGCTTACAAGAATTTTTCACCAGCACAATAAAATGCCAGCTATAACATCTGCCAGACTTCTGCGATACGCCGAATTCCTGTCGAGCTTTAATTACGAAGTAATCTACAAAAAAGGATCCGAAAATACTAATGCAGATTGTCTATCCAGAGCAACGCAAATTCCAGGAAATCATTGCACGGACAAAGTAATAAATGAAGAGATAAATGAACTATGTTTGTTATCCATCTTTGAAATATCCAGCGAATACATAAATTCAGAAATCCTAGCATCGGAAACCGCAAAAGATCCCGAACTTTCAAACATCTTAACCAACATGATGAACGGGAACGGCGAAGGTACGTATATGCTCAATAACGGCATTATTTTTAAGGGTCAACGGGTAGTGATTCCAAAAAGCCTACAGCAAAATGTTCTTCAAGAATTACATCGCACTCACCCAGGCGTTACCAAAATGAAGCAACTCGCCAGAAGATATTGTATCTGGAAAGGTATTGACCGTGATATAGAACGGACAGTACGATCATGCGAACCATGTGTTCAAGTTCAAAACAAACCGGCGAAAGCTCCACTGCACCACTGGGAGGAACCAAAAGAAAATTGGGAAAGAATACATATAGATTACGCCGGACCATTCCAGGATAATCATTTTCTTGTGGTCGTGGATGCAAAGTCTAGATGGGCAGAATTTCGAGTTATACGGGATGCTCCAACAACCCAATCCACAATTAACCTTCTATCGGATATTTTCGCTACTCATGGATATCCGTCGATCATGGTTTCTGACAACGCAACTATTTTTACGAGCGCACATTTCAAATCATACTGCAGCAAAAATGGAATTTACCAGAAGCTCATAGCACCAGGGCACCCGAGTACGAATGGTCTTGCCGAGCGAAATGTTCAAACACTTAAAAGGAAGTTAAAAGCTATGTCAACAGAACCAGGACCACTACGCCAAAAAGTCAATGACATTTTACAAATATACCGAGCAACTCCTCTTAGTAATGGTATGAGCCCAGCAGAACTTTACCTAAAAAGACGTATACGGATTCGATTAGACGCGCTAAAACCAATAACACATAATAAAGTAACGGATTCTATACCAGGTGTGCGCCATATTAGCGAGGGAGAGAGAGTACAAGCGTTATATACACAAAACAGCAAAACAATTTGGAAAACAGGTACTGTACAACGAAAGCTAGGTCAACTTCACTACATTATTAAACTAGATGATGGCTACACCTTAAAACGCCATATAGATCAACTAAAGGTCACAAAAGTTCAACAGCGGAAAGTCAGGTTCGCTCAAGATGTTCCTGACATAGGTAATACCCGGGGAAGTACTTCAAATACGATTTCCGACCCAGCAGACCAACAAAATCATAGGAATAGCCAGTACAATTTTCAACAAGTCGAAACTGGATCTCAATCTAATTCAGAATCGAACGATACAGAATCTGAAAGACATACAGAAACATTACCTCGAACTCCAGAGCAGCCAACCCAATCGTCAACTGCTCAAAATCCGGAACAGTCGAGTCAAAGACCTGCACGAATACGCAATAAACCTGCACATCTCCGCGATTATGACTTAACATAACTCTCATTAGCGGGGGAGAACTGTTATAACTTCAACCTAGATGTACTATCAGCCTTAGGATTTGCAGCAGTTCGATCACTAACATTTATAAAATACTCATCTTTGAATATCGATAACCATTGTATCATCACTAGAATATAAGTTGTAATATAATAAAGAAGTATATTAGAAACCGCGTGCTCTTTCAATTTACATCCAAATCCAGATTATAAAAGAAACTATGACTTAAAAGGAATAAGCCCTGAAGATTTCATTCAATTCATTTAAATAATTCATGGGATATTGTGAATCGAAGAAAAAATTACATAAAAATTGATTATGCAATAACTTGCGAAAATCAAAAAACTTTAATTTTTACTGATCGATTTCATGAATTCTAGCTCAACAGTGTTTAAACAACGATCTTGCCATGATGCTAGATTGTGAAGATGATAGTCAGGAGTATACATCCGACATTTGCAGCCCCGATGCAATTCCCAAAAAGGAATTGTTGCACCGCAATAAAAAAAGGGTCAATCGAAAAGAATTTACAATTTTGTCAATTTCAAGTTTTTCAAGTTTGTCGCCTGGAGCGAGTAGCTATTTAATGGCGCAGGTTTGATTTACGACCCGTTAGGAACAGGCTGTAATCCGAAAAGGCAGCAAATTTACTCCTTCTTAAATACAATGTTCCAATTTTTTAATTGAACTACTAAATAAAAAAATATTATTAAAAATTAATAACTTTTCCAATTTTTTATTTACCTAAATTCCTTAATGTACTCACCAAAATTATTTCTTAAAAATATTTGACATCCGCATTCGCATTTGTATCCACGGATGTTAGCTTTTAAACATCCGCATCCGCATTCGCATGCGCGGATGTCTAAAATTACACATTCGCAACATCCCTAATACAAACATGTGTATATATATGAAGACTTGCTTAAACAAATTTACATTAAACGACATAAATAAATAAAAATAAACTTCAAATATATTTGAAACTTTGAAATAAATTTTTTCTTTTTTATTCCACACACTCATTCTCACTTTTACTCTCCCAAAAACTTTGACGTTTGAGGTTAAATTGGCTTCTACCGGTTTTGAGTGTACCATGGTGTCGAAGTGTTTTCCGTCTTAATCGATACTACCGCTGCGATACGATATCGTAACTGGTGCGATACCACGATGCAGCGAAGAAAGGTCCGTCCGAAATACCGCTACTTTGTTTTTGCCGATTTTGACAATTCTGGTCCACAAGTAAACGATGCCTCAGAAACTTTAAATGCACTGAAGTTCACTATTAATTTTTTAATAAATTATATATTTCTACAATTTAGCACAATTAAAACACATTTACTGTCGACAATTTTAATATTAAGAAAATTTGCTCATCTGACATTTTCTTTTCCACTTCCACTTCGGCTTTGTTTACTTGTTTTTGAACGCATCCTATCGTAACGGTAAACCTAACGGTCGTATCTTTTTTCGGAAAAAAAACAGATATTACTGCGCGAAAACCACGTTTCGCAGTATCTTCATTTAAAAATAAAAGCGTTTTTTACAGCGAATTTTTACCGTATTGAAAATCGCACCTTTTTATTAATAACACCCGATTTACATGACTCAAGTACTTGAAATCAATTCTTGCTCATCCTTTTTTGTGTTTTCTATTTGCTTTTACACATTTCAATTCTGTTGAATTGAAGTTTTTGGTTCTTTAAATGGGAAGCAACGAAAATGTCAACACCAAAGCAAGAAAGTTGAAACGACTTGACGGTACAGACGCATGTGTACTTGTCCCTTTTCTTCTCACTAGATCCCCACCAGTCCAAAATCGGCGAAAAAAGGTACTTTTAAGAAACAAATTTTTTTCAGTTTTTTTCACTAGAAATCTATATCTAAAGTGACGAATTTAGAAATGGTTTGGAACTATAGAAAAAGGGATGCAGAATGAACTAAATCCTATTTGTCGAATTTAGAACTATTTCGGAACTATCGAATAAGGAATGCAGAGGGGGCTTGTTTACTTTACATAGATATGTGTTCGGCGGCTTTTTCGTTCGAATACGCTTCTGTTCTGTGCTTCGCAGATGCTTTTTCATAGCCTGGTAATACAAAAATAAAATTTGTGTTAATATTTCAACATCTTGGGACCGTCTGGGATCTAAGAAGCGAGCACCTCTGCAAACTCAGCTACAGCTAAAGGTATGTAAACGTACATTTCTTACAATAATTCAAACAAATTTAATTTCAAATTGAAAACACATTTCTTCCAAAATAACTTAAAATCGCACACACGGAAGAACCAAAAAGATTGAAAAATCATGATACTTTTTTCTTTAGTCTGTCGATTTTAGAACTGGTTTGGAACTATAGAATTTAGGACTAGTTCGGAACTATCGAAAAAGGGATGCTGCGGGGCAATTGACACTTCCTAGGACATCGCCATGTTAAATTCGCCAGTTACTTGCATGGAAAAGTGATTTATCGCGAACCAGTACTGGGTCTAAATGTGTCTACTAGAAGCGCACCAGTTCAGAACTAGAGATTTTCCCCACAGGGGATATCTTGTCCCTATTTTTTTTTTAAATAATAGTATACATAAATATGCTTTTTTAAAACGGGTTTCCGTGATCAGTGTGTATTAAAAAATTTAGGCACCAAAAAAAAAAAATTAATGCAGTATTTTGGAAAAAAACCGCAGCTTCCATTTTTGGAATCCAAAAAAAAAGTATTATACTGCGAAATAAAGTATAGATACGAGCGTTAGGTATACCGCATCTGTTTGAGCCAGGGCTGCAAACCAGGGATGTTGCGAATTTGGAATTTTAGAATGCGAATGCGGATGCGGATGGTTAAACGCTAACAGCCGCGGATGCGGATGCGAATGCGGATGTCAAGTATTTTTATACCCGAGCGCACTTGTGCACAAGGTGTTCACATAACGGTTGTTTGTAACAGGCAAAACGAATCGAAATAGATATAGACAAATGTATACGTGAATGATTAAGCGGTAACTGTCTGTCCGTCCGTCCGTCTGTGCACAAGATAGCTCGAGTACAAATTAAGATATCTTAACGAAACTTGGTATGTGTACTTCTTTTCGGCGTAAGACGGATGGTATTGAAAATGGGAAAAATCGGACAATAACCACGCCTACCTCCCATGCAACGGTAGTTTTCAGAAATACGCAAACTGCGATATTTTACTACTGAAGCTTATTCACTCAAAATTGATATTAACAATCATTTTTAGGCGAAAAAAAGAATACTATAAATTTTTGGAAAGTGGGCGCAGCCACGCCCACTTATGATTACATGTGTATACCTTGGGAACCGCTCTGCCAATTTCTCCCAAACTTGACACAGTTGTTGGACGTCACAAAACATACCGAACGGCTGAAAATTTAAAAAATCGTATAATAACCATGCCCACATCTCATATAACGGTAATTTANCTACACGACGCTCTTCCGATCTATAACGGTAATTTAGAGAAATACGAAAGCTTTGATAAATCAGTAAATACTGGAGCTAATTTATTCAAGATTGATGTTGGCAATAAACGGTAAATTTCAGAAATGCTTGAAACTTCGGTATTTCGAAATTTAAGGACGCTAATAAGCAATAACATTATTATTGAATTTTGGAAAATGGGCGTGATGCCGCCCACATACATTTATATAAGTTTATCTCATTATATCAAACAGAACGTTCTATCGAAGATGTTTGAAATAGGGGTAACCCCACCCTTGCTTACCATGTAGCGGTAGTTTTCGGAAAGGTAAAAAACAATATTGAATACTTGCGCCGGATATTTAATGTTCAGCACCGCCCTAACTTAGACTGTTTTACTTGTTAAGAAATAATTTAGGCGAGTTAATTAGGTGATTTAGTTAAATAAAAAATGTAAAGGTTAGTAATTTTTAATAATGTTTTTTTAGTACTTGAATTTAAAAATTGGAACATTGTCTCCAATAAAAAGTGTTTAAAGGGTCGTAAACCAGGGCCACTATATAACTGCTCGCTAGAGGCGACAAACTTGAAACTTGACAAAATTGTAAATTCTTTTCGATTGACGATGCACCAGTCGAGAGGACTGTCATTTATATTTATTGTTTTTTTTTTTATTGCGGTTCTTTTTTGAGAATTGCATCAGGCTGCAAATGTCGGATGTATCCTCCTGACTTTCATCTTCACAATCTAGTATCATGGCAAGATCGTTGTTTAAACACCGTTGTTTTCCAAAGAATTCTTCATTCTCAGTCTTTTGGTTGTTTCTGAATTTGGAGAACCTGTAACAGCGTTTTTCGATATTAGTTTCTGTAATTCATTTTTAATCCTTTTTCCTGTGACTGGCCAGATATACAGTGCACTTGCACAATATTACAGGGACCGAGAATAACAGTAATTTTTTACCAGTTGAACTTAGCCTAATATTGTTTATTCCGAAATAAAAGTTTTTTCTGGATAATAAACAAACAGCTTATCAAAATTAAACAAATTTAATATCATGTGAAAGAGGACTGAAACAGCGAACGAAGGGTTTTTATATCATTTCAGTTTTAAAGCTATTTAAGTCCTCTTTCATTTGATACCAGACTTGTTTAATTTGGATAAGCGGTTTGATTATTATCCGGAAAGGACTTTTAGTTGGGAATAAAAAATATTTGGCCATGTTTAACTCGTAAAAAAATAACTGTTATATTCGGTCCCTTCAATATTCGCATTCGCAAAAGATCCGCATTGATTAATGCGAACGCGAAAGCGAATGCGAATGTTAAAATTAATGCGGAAGCTCCGCGGTTGCGAATGCGAATGCGAATATTCGCAACAACCCTGCTGCAAACCACTCCAAAAAAACGGGGCGGTTCGGTTCAGTGGTTCGAACTAGGGATGGTGCGAATGTGAAATTTTAGACATCCGCGGATGCGAATGCGGATGCGGTTGTCTAACAGCTAACATCCGCGGATGCGAATGCGAATGCGGATTTCAAGTATTTTTAAGAAATAACCA